GAGAAGTTCATTGTTGGGTTTCCATACATTTCCATACATTTCTTCAACCACCAACCATATAGTGTATGAAATTCAACTGCTTGATTGGTTCAGCCTCTTAGCATGACTTTTTATTTTTATAAACACAGGATGTCCTATTGCTCCCTTACCTTACTTGACAATCAATTCAGCAGCTAGCACTCTAAATCGAGTTCTCTAAATAAAAAAAAGAATATATTTCCTATTCTGAAAAACATGAAAAACAGAGAAAAAATATCCAATAATATTGTTAGGCCAGACTGCAGCTATACAGAACCAGACATTAGTAAGGCTGCTTTTATAATGGCAATTCGGTCCACAATGGCAATCGCCTCAGAAGCCAATTATATAAAATAATACATAATATACTGGGCTGAAAAGACCTTGATTTCTGAGGTGCCTGGCAAATAACAGAAATAAAATCTCAAATGATTGTCCAACTGCTCTCCTTTTTCTGCCCACACACACATACCAGCCGTGCAGTTTATGTCTATTTGTTTTTTTTTGTTTATTTTATTACTTTTCACTTTTTTTTAACCTTTTGTGTATGAGTCCAAACTATAAAGGGAGTATACTGTAGCAATTTTTAAATGAATGGTTACTTTGAGTTATTATTACAGTATTTACCTTAAAGAATAACTATCAATAATTATTTTTTTTACTGTTTCTCTCCCTATAGGACAGAATACATGTAGTCCTTTGTCCCATGTAGCTAGATGCTTCCTATGCTGCGTATGAGGTCCAACCTGCACCCCTTCCCTCCTGCCATGGCCAATCCAACAATGGCTAGGAAGAAGATGAATGCTTCATAATGGGGGGTTTTTCTTTGTTTTGAGACCTTTTTGAGATAGGCAGTGCCACAGGAATACAGATGGAAAAGGGAGTGGGGGGGGGGGGTGTCAGCCTCTGCATTCTTCTTGCTTTTGTATCAGTAAAGTGCTCAGAGCCAAGACAAGCCGATATTGTAAAGCAATTTTTTTCCCTTCCTAGCCTTTGTCGGATTGGCTTCAGTAGGTGGGAAGGAGGTGCAGTCAGACCTGATAGCTGGGGTTAGGAAGCACCTAGCAGCATGGGACAAGTACATGTACTTTGTCAAAATGGAGACACAGCAGTAAACATATCTAATGATGCTTCATCTTTAATGTAATTTCTATATGATTTTCACTTTTTTTTTACATGATCACTTTTGCATATTTGTTTGTATTAAATAAATATATAACCAACAATATACAAAGGAAAAGGGATTTTTAAGGTGCTCATAAAGTTCCAAACATGACGTATTGATGACTTTTGTATTATTTTTGTACTTTTGTTAATTAAATTTGTTTATTGTTATATTTTATTTATTTTTTTCTCCAGTTGCAATTTACATGCAATTATCTGTAAAATTTGGCGAAACATGTCGAGTGGGAATTGTTGCATTGTGAACTCTAAGCCATACGGAGCGCTTTGTTGGTTTTAAGCTTCCATAACTACTAATGTGATGTAGTTTTTTTTTTTATATGACAATATGTAATGAGTTTTGTATGGTTTTAGTACAACACTAAATGTTTGGAACTTTATGAGCACCTTAAAAATCCCTTTTCCATTGCATATTGTTAGTTATTTATTATATGGGATGTGGTGCTAACTGATCTCCAACCCACATGAAACAATACAGAAAAGATTAGTAAATAAATATATATTAGCCACTAGAGGGAGTTTTCAGTGTCCCTGTGAAATAACTGACACTATTTTACGTCTGTTGAGTTAAGATATTAGCAACATCTTCATTCCATTGTCACATCCTTAATAATCGTAAACAAAAACAGACAAAATGTACTTTATCCATTTTCAGAACAGAACCAATTTTCCTGCCAAAAAAGTCTCCATTCCCCTGGCATGCGTTCACAAAGTTTCCCTTCAAAGTTACACTCACTTTATTAGGTACACCTTGCTAGTGCCAAGAAATTATCCCCCACACCATTACACCACCACCACCAGCCTGAACCGTTGATTCAAGGCAGGGTAGATCCATGCTTTCTTGTTGTTTACACCAAATTCTGACCTTACCATCTGAATGTCACAGCACCCAGTCTGCCATTTCTCCACTGACATCAACAAGGCATTTTTGTCCACACATCTGCTGCTCACTGGATATTTTCTCTTTTTTGGATCATTTTCTGTAAACCCTAGAGTTGGTTGTGTGTGAAAATCCCAGTAGATCAGCAGTTTTTTAAATACTCAACAAACCCATCTGGCACCAACAATCATGATACGTTAAAAGTAAATTAAATCCCCTTTCTTCCCCATTCTGATGCTTGGTTTGAACTTTAGTAAGTCGTCTTCATCATGTCTACATGCCTAAATGCATTGAGTTGCAGCCATGTGATTGGCTGATTAGCAATTTGTGTTACCAAGCAATTGAACAGGTATACCTAATAAAGTGCCTGGTCAGTACATAAAGCCCCCCCAACACGCACCAACCTTCCACCTCAATTGGGAGCACAGTCCACTATACATTTTTACAGTCAGATACTTTCCAATATTTGCAGGAGTGGAGGAGCTGGAGATCTGCAGCTTTCCTCTCATTTCCATGCTCAAAGTGCTGCACACAGAAACTCCATTGTTCTTCTGTTCTTCTTCTGGGCCACCAACAGAAGTGTCCATCAAGGGCAAGTGGGACAAGGAGGAGCAATATGCCAAGGAATATTGGAAGAGATTTTCAGGGAGCTTGATGCTAAAAAGCCAATCCAGATCAGAAATTTCCAAGTGTATGTGAGCTCCAAAAAGGCATCATCAAGAAGCACTGGGATCTTAACACTTATTTGTTCAGAAGGGTAATAAATCCAAAATGAATCCAAATCTATTTAACAAGCTGGCTTGCTCACAAAATATTGCTTGCTTAAATTAAGGTTCTTCTCTGGTGGGAACCCAGAAAATCAAAGCATTAAACTTACAACAGAAGGGAAGACCAAATGGCAAAGGAGTCCCAACCTACTTTAACTGTATGTACCCTATAGAAACAACTATACTGATATGGACCCATTTTCTATTCATCCCGGTGCTCCTGTGTACAGTTTGTGCTATATTTTGAACCCAGATCAGGAGATTGACAAATGCAGCTAGCTACAAGGACAGAACTGGGATCACCATCAACACTCATTCAAGATTACATACTAGCAATGCAAAAGAATCAAACTTACCTGCAGTCCTCCAGCCAAGATAACCAAAATGCTAGCCACCCACCCAAACCTGAATAGCAATCCTCCATCAGACCTTTGGCCACTTGAACAGGCATGCAGTTTCCATTCACCTTCCTTGTCACAGTCACCTGTAGCTTTGAGAATTTTTAACATGGAAATACTGACCTCTTGCAATGCCTGCAGTGGTGACCCATCTGGAATAACAACCAGCTGCAGCTGCACCACAACCCAAAAATGATGGCCACACACATCCATCAGTATTAGTAATCAAGAACAGCAGTCAACCACAAAGCATCCTTGCTGAGCTGACTGATAACCCCATCACACATCCAGCACACACACTAACACACACACACACACATTTTGCAGCTTTCGCAGCCTCTGCGCTTCGGGGAGGCTTGTTCACAATATTTTTGAGTGTGTCTGTGGAAATGTATCTTCATTCAACAAAAAAAGAAATTTGTGAGTTTGGATACTGATATAAGAAGACCTGGCTCACGATTGGCATTCCAATTCATCCCAACAATGTTCAAAAGGCATGGAGTCAGGGCACTGTGAAGATCTCTTAAATTCTTCCTACTAAACTTGTCAACCATGCCATTATGGACCTGGCTTTCTGCACAGGGGCACAGTCATGGTGGAACAATAAAGAGCCATCTACAAACTGTTTTCAAAAGGTTCACAATCATCTAAAATTTAGCTACACAAACATGGTGCTGTGGCACCCAGGGGTGCTAAACGTGTTCCCCCAGGGTGCTGCGAGCATAGACCCATTTTGCCCTGGATCAGCATCTTTAGTCTGATGTGAAGGAGAGGCTTTGATGTGAAGGGGGACTGTTGATGTGAAGGAGGTCTTCTGATGTGAAGTGTTACTAAACCCAAGACTCTGCATTCATTATATCTGGTCTCCCACAGTACACACAACATAGAATTGCAATTATTTTAGTAAATATAAACTGCTAAATACCTTTTCACATGAGCAGTTAGAGCAGTCTTGTGACTTCTATCAGTGACCAGCAAAGCACTAGTTAAAGCTTGTAGGAGGAGTTTGTATTCTCCTCTCACTGTCCTATGAGACTGCAGGACCCCTCACCCTCTACGTGGACAGTGCTGATTGGTCCTGTGATGATCATGTGCACTCTCCCAAGAAAAAAAAAAACTCTCCAGCAATACACACCAAACTGAGCATGTGCAGTTTTTCCCCCAAGGCTCTGTTCTATCAGGAGATGAGTCAGGGACAGCGGAAGAAGGGGAGGATCAGAGAAGACAGGATTGAACATCCTTTTTACACAATGCAGAGGAATAACTCCTTAAGTTCTACAGTAAGTATAACAAGCATGCGTTACTGCATATACAGACTGATTTTTCTGTTGTGGATTTATTAACACTTTTACCACTTGACCTCCAGAGGATTTACCCCCCTTCCTGGCCAGGCAATTTTTTGTGTTATGGCGCTGAGTTACTTTAATGGACATTTGAGCGGTCATGCAATACTGCACCCAAAAATTTAACTTTTTTTTCAGTGGTATTTGATCACCTGTGCATTTTTTATTTTTTTTGCGCTATAAAAAAAAAATCCTGACAATTTTGAGAAAAAAATGTCCAGTAAAATTTTTTTTTAAAAATCTAGTTTTGTCATATATTTAGGCCAAAATGTATTCTGCATAATGTCTTCACTAAAAAAAATCCCAATACGTGTAAATTAATTGGTTTACATGAAAGTTATAGTGTTTACAAATGGTGATATAGATACTGGGATTTTTTTTAAATTTTATTTTTACTAGTAATGGCGGCAATCAGCGACTTATAGCGGGACTGCGGCGGGCATTCTGACACTGGGGAGAACTGACCTGGTGTCACTGATATCCCCAGTGACACCAATACAGTGATCAGTGCTAATAAAAACCACTGACACTGTACTAATGGCACTGGGCATGAAGGGGTTAACATGTGGGGCAATCAAAGGGTTCACTGTGTGCTGGGTGTGTTTTACTGTGGGGCTGTGTTTGTGCTTCACTGTAAGCACACTGCTTTGTATGGCTGTGCTGTGCACCACCATGCAAAGCAGTGTGCATGAGCTGACAGGGAGGAGAACAGTTTTGTTTACATACAGTTCTCCCCCTTCCCCCCGCCTGAGATTCTCGGCAATCATCAAGCGCCAGCGAGTAATCACCGGTCTGGACCCGGTGATTGACAGTTGTAGCCGCGATTGCCGGTGCGGGTAGGGCACGCACACGCCCCCTATCCGGAAATGCAAAATCACATATACAGTTGCAAGAAAAAGTATGTGAACCTTTTGGGATTATGTGGAGTTTTGCATGAATTGGGCATAAAATGTGCTCTGAACGTCATCTAAGTCACAACAATAGAAGAACACAGTCTGCTGAACATAATACTACACAAACATTAGATGTTGCCATGGTTTAATTGCACATAACATGTAAACATTCACAGTGCAGGGAGGAAAAAGTATGTGAGGCCCTAGCTTAATGACTTCTCCCAGAGCTAATTAGAGCCAGGAGTGAGCCAACCTTGACTCCAATCAGTGTGATGATTATATTGGATGTGTTGCTGACAGCTGTCCTGCCCTTAAAAAACACACACCTGTTTTGGGTTTACTGGTTTCAAGAAGCACTGTCTGATGTGAACCATGCTTTGCAGAAAAGAGCTCTCAGAAGACCTACGATCAAGAATTGTTGACTTGCATGAAGCTGGAAAGGGTTACAAAAGTATCTCCAAAAGCCTTGATGTTCATGTGTCCACGGTAAGACAGACTGTCTACAAATGGAGAAAGTTTAGCACTGTTGCTACTCTCCCTAGGCATGGTCGTCCTGTAAAAATGACCGCAAGAGCACAGCGCAGAATGCTGCATGAGGTAAAGAAGAATCCCAGAGTGTCAGCTAAAGACCTACAGAAATCTCTGGCACATGCTAACATTTTTGTTGACACATCTACAATAAGGAAAACATTAAACAAGAATGGAGTACATGGGAGGGCACCACGGAGGAAGCCATTGCTGTCCAAAAAGAATATTGCAGTACGTTTGAAGTTTGCAAAAGAGCACCTGGATGTTCCACAGCACTACTGGCAAAATATACTGTGGACAGATGAAACCAAGATTGAGTTGTTTGGGAAGAACACACAACACTATGTGTGGAGAAAAAAAGGCACAGCACACCAACATCAAAACCTCATACCCACTGTAAAACATGGCGGAGGGAGCATCATGGTTTGGGGCTGCTTTGCTGCCTCAGGGCCTAGACGGATTGTTGTCATTGATGGGAAAATGAATTCCAGAGTTTATCAAGACATTTTGCAGGAAAACGTACGACCATCTGTCCGCCAACTGAAGCTCCGCAGAGGATGGGTGATGCAACAGGACAATGACCCAAAGCATACAAGTAATTCAACAAAACAATGGCTGCAACAGCACAGAATACGCCTTCTGGAGTGGCCCAGTCAGAGTCCTGACCTCAACCCAATTGAAATGCTGTGGCATGACCTTAAGAGAGCGATTCACATCAGATATCCCAAGAATATTGCTACACTGAAACAGTTTTGTGAAGAGGAGTGGTCCAAAATTACTCCAGATCATTGTGCAGGTCTGATCTGCAACTACAGGAAACGTTTGGTTGAGGTTATTGCTGCCAAAGGAGGGTCAACCAGTTATTAAGTCCAAAGGTTCACATACTTTTTCCTCCCTGCACTGTGAATGTTTACATGTTATGTGCAATTAAACCATGGCAACATCTAATGTTTGTGTAGTATTATGTTCAGCAGACTGTGTTCTTCTATTGTTGTGACTTAGATGACGTTCAGAGCACATTTTATGCCCAATTCATGCAAAACTCCACGTATTCCCAAGGGATTCACATACTATTTCTTGCAACTGTATATATGTGATTTTGCGCACCCGTGCCGCCCTGTAGCAGTATAACTGCTATAGGGCGGACGGGAAGCAGTTAATATCATTAAGACAGATGTGTGCATTGTTCCAGGTCCAGCTTTTACATTGATAAGTAACATTTGTTTTGTTTTTACATTTTAGACTGGCACGTCTTGAGATTTTGCATACTTTTAAAGGTTTGTGCAACTGACAAAAACATTGAGAAATGATGGTCTAAAATATATTTGTATGCTTTGTCCAAAGATTTCTTGCAAAAATTAGCACCTTCATATTGAGCAATTATATATGGACAAAGAACTAGCATTGTGAAAAAGGTCATTGTATGGATGACTGTTATTTGTATTTATTGAACGTCATGTTATCTTTTGCTTTTTCATCTTTTAAAAAGCACATTTTTGGTGTTATTGTAATATATATATATATATATATATATATATATATATATACACATAGCCAAAGGTTTGTGGACTCCGGACAAACGCACCTATATGTATATATATATATATATATATATATATATATATATATATATATATACATACATACACATTTGTAAACACTATAACTTTCATGTAAACCAATTAATATACATGCCTTGGGATTTTTTGTAATGAAGACATGATGCAGAATACATTTTGGCCTAAATATATGACAAAACTAGATTTTTTCAATTTTTTTTACTGGACATGTTTAATAGCAAAAAGTCAAAAATATAGGTTTTTTTGTCCGGAGTCCACAAACTTTTGGCTATGTATAAATATATATATATATATATATATATATATATATATTACAATAACACCAAAAATGTGCTTTTTAAAAGATAAAAAAGCAAACGATAACATGACGTTCAATAAATACAAATAACAGCCACCCATACAATGACCTTTTTCACAATGCTAGTTCTTTGTCCATATATGATTGCTCAATATGAAGGTGCTAATTTTTGCATCTATCCTCCAATATTATAAAATGTACAAAAAATTAGGATTTTGTCATTTTCCACACACTTCACAGGTTTTAAAATTTTTTTTTTTAAAGATCACAGACAATTGTTTTGCTGTATTTTGTCATCTTCAACAATTATCCCTGTCATAGGTTTCAATGCTCTTTAATCACACCTGTTGTCTCCCACCCACTGCTAAAGATGATCTCATTGATTTTTCTACAATATCAAAGCATCTTCACTTGTATTGCACAAATACTGTGCTTTAAAATGTAAAAAAAAAAAAAAGATAAAAGAGTTTATTTTAAGGTTTGCAAGTGACATCTATGGTGTCAAATATGATGAAAGCTCTGTTTACTCATGACACCAGTGAACAGGACTTGTCCAGGTATAATAACCCACTGAGCTTTAAGTGTAAAGTAAACTTCAGGAACCATAAAACAGTGTAACAGTGAAAAACAAGCATTTTCCAGGGAGAAAGAAATCAATAACAAATATTGCAGTTACTTGCAGAGAATAGTCATTATTTTGGCTTCCACCATCCACTTGCTTAATAGAAAACGCCTTCTATTTTAGTTCTACTTAGAACTAAGGCCTAGAAGTCACATAAATTCATTGGGTGCCTGGCATTGAAGGTTCACATCTAACGAGTTAAAATTACATGAGCCTAACATTCAAATGTACGCTGCAAATGCCTGCCTTTTGTAAAGGCTTTGGAGCATCAGTCCTCCCTCTGTACACATAGAGCTCAGTAGTAAGGTGAGACCACCTGGATTTGGTGTATAGGGTGGTGTTCAATGACGTTATCCACGGATAGTCCCAATATAAAGCAATACTGATAGAGATAATATATATTATATAACATATGTTAAAGTTTTGTGGTTAACAGTTAAAATGTATCTATAACCTTTTTTTGTTTTAGTATTGTAAAGAATAGAGAAGGATTAGAACTCCTATCATCTTACTGTTTTTAGGTTAAGTAGGGGAATGCTAGAACCTCAGTCAGCCTTTTATTGTTTCACCAAACAAATAAGCTTATCTCTACACCCTGCTGATATCTTCATGCAACAGAGGCTAGGCTCTTCTCAGCCCTATCCACTAGGTACTTAAAGAAGGTAAAAGGTTGTCTAAGGAAATGGAAATGATGGAAAACCTCTCTAATGGAGCCCCGGATAACAGGAAAACCTGACAGGGGTTCTAATCCTTCCCAAGGATCTAATGTATATGGAAACCAGTAAGTTGTTTCTTACATAAGTAACTACTAAGCTTAAGATGTCCACACACAACCCAATAATTGCAAATAATGAAAGAGAGCTGAGCAGCGCTCACTATAATGATGCCATGGAAAAATTACAATAATAACAAGCATTTCCAATTGTCCCAAAAATGAGATCCTCTACCCCTTAAGGTATACAATGTGGTCATTCATTGATTGTTCCTTTTTGAATAGAAGGAAGGATATGTTCTTTAGGTGTGTACCATATTGTTGTGTTGGGTGATTCAGATGATCACACTAAGTCCTGACAGTCTAGAATCACCAGACTGAGAAAGCTGCCCATTCATTGCTATGATTATACAGGGTCTGCCATGTATATTAAACACAACTCCAAACCCGCTCAAACAAATACAGATTATGATTTATATGGTATGTGTGTTAAATTGAACCTGTGCTCCATTTTGAAATAAAAGCTCTGCTGAACAACTGAAAACACAAGATGGTGACTTTCAATAAAGGCTTTGCAGCATAATTCTGGTATTATAGCTGTACATGGAACTACTGAGCCAAATTCATAAAAGATGTGTAATATTTCCATTGAATAAATCTGATTTATGCAACAGATTCATAAAGTTCTTCCCAATATGGCTACAACAAAAACATACCACCATATCTGATCCAAGAAAATGAGGTAAATATTACTCAATTCATCTTGTAGTAAATTGTGTTGCATGTCTAGCAACTCTGGTGCATCTTTAAAACAAGCTCATGTCATTGTTTCCAACACGTGCACCAAAATGTGTCATGCAGACATGAGACACACTTTAAAAGAGTGTCTGTAACATTCTTTGTTAATTCCAGGGGATGCTTGCTGTTATGGTTATTAGCCAGAAAAGCCCTTCATGTATCCCTCCTGCTTTGGTTTCACTTTGGTGCCAACTGTGAGGAACATCATGCCAGCCATCAGAAAGGTCCTACCAGCCATAAGACTCAAGCATACGTCCGCTGGCATGGAACCCTAACTAAATGTCCACGTGAATGTACAGGCACATCCTTCATGGAGAGTTGGCACCTAGTGGGCCCTTTAAACCAGGCCTCTACATTGGATCATTTCTGAATGATCTTTCAGTCTAAGTTGCTGTTATTCTTGATCCTGAACC